CGTCATCCTTGTCTGGTTCCTGTTCACAAAGATAATGCTTTTAGTCTTTCTCCATTGAGAATGATATTGGTTCTTGGCTTTGCATATATACTTTTGACTGTGTTGAGGAAATTTCCATCTATTTCAGTTTTGCTGAGTGTTTTAATCAGGAATGGGTGTCAATTTTTGTCAGATGCCTTTTCTACATCAATTACTAAGATCATATGCTTCTTGTTATTTGTTTCGTTAATGTGGTGAATTACACTGATTGTTTTTCTTATGTTTAACCATCTTTGCAAACCTCTTATGAATCCCACTTGAGCATGATGAATTATATTTCTTATGTGCTTTTCGGTTCTGTTGGCTAGGATTTTGCATCTATATTCATGAGAGATATTAGTCTGTAGTTTTCTTTTTTGACAATGTCTTTGTCTAGTTTTGGTATTTGGGTTATGCTTACTTCATAGACCATCTCTGGGAGTGTTCGTTTTTCTCTACTTTGAAATAAGTAATATTGATGATAAATCTTGTCTGAATGTTTGGTAAAACTTCAGACTTTTTTTATGGGAGTCTTTTTATGACCTGCTGTGTGTGTGTGTGTGTGTGTGTGTGTGTGTGTGTGTATGTGTATGTGTATGTGTGTGAGAGAGAGAGATAGGTCTAGTTAAATGTTCTATGTCTAACTGTTAATCTTGGTAAGGCATGAGTTCCAAGTAATTTGTCCATTTCCTTTAAGTTTTCATATTTCTCAGAGTATAGCTTTTCATAACATTCCTATATTACAGACTTAATTTTCTTTAGTTCTGTTGTGATGTCACCTCTGTCATTCCTTAATTGATTTATTTGTTTCTTCTCCCTTTTTTCCCTTTTGTTAAGTTTACCAGTGGTTTGTCAGTTTTATTGACCTTTTCAAAAAACCAGTTCCTGATCTATTGGTGGTTTTAATTGTTTTTCTATTTTTTTATCTCTTTAATTTCAGCTCTTATCCTTATGATTTCTTTTCTTCTAGAGGTTATTGGGTTTGATTGTTGTTCTATTTCTATTTGATGATTGATTTCAGCTTTAGTTTGCTTGGCTCCACAGTCAACACTCTTGGCACCAGTAGCCAGGAAATTAAAAGGCGCATTGCCATGGGAAAGCCTGCTGTTAGGGACCTCTCCAAAGTACTGAAGAGCAGTGGTGTCTCTCTGGAGACTAAGGTGCAGTTGATACAGGCCATGGTCTTCGCAATCACTTGTTATGCATCAGAGAGTTGGACAATGACCAGGGAGGATAGAAGGAGAATTGATGCCTTTGAGCTGTGGTGCTGGAGAAGAATATTGAGAATACCATGGACTGCTAGAAAAACAAACAGATTTGTCCTGGAAAGGGTTAAACTGGGTGGCTCTTTGGAGGCAAGGATTCTGAGGCTCCGTCTAACATACTTTGGACATGTGAGGAGAGACAGGTCCTTGGAAAAGGACATCATGCTTGGGAGGGTGGAGGGACGGCGCAGGAGGAGAAGGCCCTCTACGAGGTGGATTGATTCAGTGACTGGGATAATCGGGATGGGAGTGTCAGAGACAGTGCGATTGGCATAGGACAGAGCAGAGTTTAGGGCTGTTGTACATAGGGTCGCTATGAGTCGCAAGCGACTCGACGGCACATAACAACAACAACAACCTCTTGCATAGTTTTCTTAATGATTTCCCTATCCCTCTCACATTCTGGAATTCCAGTCATATATATGATATGTGATGTCATCCCACCTGATTTTCATATTTTCTTTATGTCTTATCTCTGATTTTTTTTTCTAGTATGTTTCCATTGAGGCGCTTGTTTTCCACCTCACTGACTCTTAGCTCCATCTCGTCTTTCCCCCCCCTTTTTATTTTCAATCCTTCAAGCATTTTTTGCACGTTTCTCTCATTTCAGTCTTAATATTTTGGATTGTATTTTCCTGTCTTTGTGTTATTTCTAGTACTGTGTTGGCAGTAACTTTTCTATCCTATGATGATTTTTTAAGTTGTTGTACTTCTTTATTTATAATTTCAATTCTCTTTTCTTCCATCTTCTGCATTTTATTGCATATTTGTGCATGTTCCTCCTTATCAATATATTTCTTCTGGCTCCATGTCTCTAGAGCATTTGCTTTCTTGGTAGTTTTCTTTGTGTCTCCTATCATTTCACCTTCTTCTGTAGTTGTTCAATTAATTCTTCATCAGTATATTTTTTCTGGTTCTCTACAACTGCATTATTCGTTTTATTTGTGGTTTCCATTGTTTCTTCCATCATTTGTACTGTCATTCATACCTATTCTAATATCTCCATATCAACATATATCATCTGCCTGCTTGACTCTAGGATTTTCATAAGATCTCTGATATTGTCAGCTTTTTTTTTGGAGAAGGCTTAATTTGTTTTTTCTCAGTGCTTGAGCTGCCTGTTGCTTTCTTCACATTATTTAAAGTTTTTATTGATAAGTGTTAGGTTGTTTTATTGTGTCTGCAAAAGTTGTTGGTTCTTGCCTTTATAATGTTACTAATTAGTTCGGAAGTTAAAATGTGGTGAGCTGCTCGCTCCACAGTAAGTTCTTTCAGGGAAAATTTGCCTTTCCTACTGCACTGCAGCCCTGTAGAATCTTGCCTTGAAGTAGTGCCATGACACCAACTCTATATGCCTCCTTCCTGTGTGAAGTGGCTCAGTGTTGTTAGACCAGGTGCTCTATTCAAGCAGTTTCTCATGCACTTTTTCTCCTGGAGCGTAATAACTTCCTTTGTCTGGGAAGTGACATGAGATTAGAGATCAGAGCTGCCAGCTCAACCAGCTTGTATGCGGGAGTCAAGGGGGCGGCGTCTCAAGTCAGCACCCCCTTCCCAGAGAGCTACAAAAATTCTTTCCTCTGCTTGAAGTTCTGTATACTAAAATCTCTTGCCCTGTTTGGCCCCTGGGACAGCCCCACAGCTGTGGGGGCAAGGACCCCCAGATGGAGGGACCTACAACCCCAGGGATGCCTCAATCCTGTCTTACCATAAGGGGTGGAGAATGTTGCTATAGACACAGACCCTCCCCTCACCTCACCTTCTCTCTTGCAGCTTAGTGTCTCCTTTGTTTCTGGTGTGGTGAAGATCAGGATCACATTGTATGCAGAGGTTTGCAGGTCAACCCTCTGTCACAGAGAACTAGGAGAATTCTAGCAGCTTGCATGTGGAGTAGAGGGGGAGTGTCTCAAATTTCTCAAGTCAGCCCCCCTTCCCAGAGAGCTACAAAAATTCTTTCCTCTGCTTGAAGTTCTGTATACTAAAGTCTCTTTTCCTGCTTGGTCCCTAAAGTGCCCCTGCAGCTGTGGAGGCAAAGACCCCAGATGGAGGGACCTATAATGACAGGGATGTCTCAGTCCCATCTCGCTTCAGACAATGGGGAGTGCTCCCCCTTGGCACATTCTCACTCTTGGGAGCCTTACCTCTTCTCCCCTTTCCTCCTGCAGTTTGGTGTCAAATGAAGAAATTATTTTTGCAATGTGTTGTCGAGTCAGTAGTGACTCATAGCTTACCCTGGGTTTTCAGGGGCAGAAAACTGTACAGGAGGAGATTGCTCATCCTTCTCCCATTAAATGAAGAAATTGATAACAAAAGGAAATGGCTCATGAGCTTGTAGAGTCTGACAAGGCCTAAGTCCTTGGGTCTGACTTCAGAAGAGAGTCTTCTCCTGATTCATATAGCTCTGTCTTCATAGAGTTTGATGATTCTATGGTCAGCAGATAAAGCTTCAGAGGCTAAAGAATCCAGAGTTGGCAGTAGAGTAGGCTGCTTGTTCAAGTCCACAAACCAATACAGGATCTAGATTCAACAAAAGCAAGCATGCTTTGCTGTTTATCCACATACATTAAATGTAGACCACATCCCTGATAACATTACTTTTCAACTGATGATATGCTGCTCATAGGACATTTCATACTATAGGTGATTATAAAATATTATAAATGGCCTTGTCAAAGAAATTATCTTAAATTGGACAATGACTAAGGATGACAGAAGAAGAATAGATGCTTCTGAGTTGTGGTGCTGGAGAAGAGTTTGAACATACCACAGACGGCCAAGTAAACAAATAGATCTGCCTTGGAGGGGGTGAAACCAAGTCTCTCCTTGGAGGCTAGGATTTTGAAGCTTTACCTAACTTACTTTGGGCACTTGGCCAGGAGAGATCGGTCCTTGGAGAAGGACATCATGCTCGGAAGGGTGGATGGACAGACAGCGCAGGAGAGGGAAATCCCAGGTGAGATGGTTTGATACAGTAACTGGGGCCATGGAGGTTGGTGTGTCAGAATTAGTGAGACTGACACAGGACAAGGAAGGGTTCAGAGCTGCTGTGCATAGGGTCGCTATACATCGCAGGCAATGCAGTGGCACATAACAACAGTAACATACTGTGTTAAGTTTGAAAGCAGAAGTGGTATCCCCTTCCTGAATAACATGCCTCCAAAATGTCTGTGAACTTTGATAAATGTCGATAGTTGTAGAGAGGCTTCAGGCCTTTTGTTCATAGAGTTGCTATGAGTCGTGCTTGTCTTGAAGGCAATCAGCAACCACCACAACTGCCAAAAGAAGGATGCCAGGTAGATACACAAACATATTTATCACTCCAGCTTTACTTGTATTGATAACTCTTAAAATTATACTAACTAGTGATTATAGAGGGATGGAGAAAAAGAGGGAGACCATCATGAGATGTATTGACATAGTGATGGAGTAATGAGGGTAGGTGTATCAGAGACAATAAAGTTGGTACAGCATAGAGTAGGTTTCAGGGCTGTTGTCCATAGGGTCACAATGAGTTATAAGCACTGACAGCACGTAAAAACAACAGTGATGGCCCTAGATAGGTAGCAATTATAACAGCTGATTTCATGTTATATGTTAACATTATTAAAAACATTTCTGTTTTAGAAAAAAGTTTTTAAAAAGGAAAAACATGGTTTTAGGTTAATATTTTTAGGGGTATCTAAAAATGCCAATTCTTTCTTTTTGGTAATTTTTTTATAGAAAAAAGACTATTTTATGTTGGAAAAGACAGAAAACAAAGTCGTTTGGTAATTGCTTCAGAAGAAGAAAAGAAGAAAGTACTGAGAGAATGCCATGAAAATGACACTGGAACTCATCATGGCATATCCAGGACCCTCACACTAGTGGAATCCAGCTACTATTGGACTTCGGTGACCAATGATGTCAAACAGTGGGTATGGCTTTTGTACTTAGAATATTTAGAATATCTTTATAATAACTATCCAAAATTATTTTTGTTGCTCCTTTATTCTAAATATTACCTCTCCTCAAATACTTTTTGCGTAAGTAATTTTTATACAGAAATATTTATACAGATTTTATTTCCATGTATGTTTTATTAATAGTAGAGTATAATTTGAACTAGAAAGAGTTTTTGTTTAGTATTTTAACACATTGCTGCAAGTGACGGCAAATGTGTTTCTAAGCACGGTCGTCAATTTTAAAAATGTGTGGCAACATGTGTGTAGTTAGATTTAGCTAAGGCATTTTTTAGCGTCATAGTTTTCATTATTGGACTCTTTGGTATAAGCAGACCTGAAATTCACTTTATTACAGGCATTATATCTTTGATTGTAGTCCAGATCAGACCCAATGTGTGTGTTCATCTGTTGTGCCAATTCTGTCTTGAGGTAGCAATATCAAATATGACAGAAATCCAAAACCAACTAAATGTAAAATCAAGTTATGATAAAAGAATAATTTTTATATTTGTAACTTTATAAACTACTTTTATGGTTAGCCTGTAATAGAAAATACACCAAGAGTTATGCTGATGTGTCAAATGATTTCTATTCTTTCTAGTATAGTATAATTGCAAATACTTTGGGCATGTTATCACAAGGGGCCAGTCCTTGGAGAAGATAGCATACTTGGTAAAGTGAAGAGTCAGTGAAAGAGAGGAATACCCTTAGTGAGGTTAATCAACATAGTGATTCCAACAAGGAACTTAAGCATGGCAGAGATTGTGAAGATGGTATAGAATAGGGCAAAGTGGCAACAAACTACAACATATTGCCAAATGATAGGAATTCCATGGTTAATATGTAGAATTCCTTTAATAATTATAATGTTGTTAGTTGCAATTGAGTCAGTTACAATCCCTGGCAATCTTATGAACAACAAATCTGTGCCCTGTCCTATTCTGTGCTACCCTCATCATCTCTGATGATTGTTACAGTCATCTTGTTGAGGAAGATCTGTTTTTCACCAACCTTTTAAAATTTGGTATCTTTTTCAAAGACTGAAACTTCCTAGCAACATGCCCAAAGTATATGAGACAGAGTTTTAACATCCTTGCCTCAAAGAGCACCCTAATTTCACTTCCTTCAAGATACGTTAATATTTGTAAAAACTATGTGTTATTATATTGTAATAAGATGGTTTTGGAAAGTTCTCTATTATTTTCTGAAGAGTTTTGGCTCATATTTGGCAGTGGCATCATCAGTAAATTAAATTGGCCAATCACTTTTTCCCTTACTCAAATGAAAGCCCCATGATGCCTTTGTTTTTTCCATTCTGTTATCCCAGGACTCTAAGCTATTTATGACATATAAATATTGAATCAAATTATATTCCAACAGCTATTGTTAGAATGTATGAATAAGTGAACTTCAAAAAGTGATGTTGTTGTTATTGTTGTTAGGTGCCATCGAGTCGTAGATGACTCATAGCGACCCTATGAATGAAAGGCCTGAGCACTATTTATAGAGTTTCTGGAGGCAAGCAATTTTGGAAGTGGATGCCTCTCCTGCTTCAAGGCTTGTTTTAATCAGGAAGCTCCAACAAACACTGTCCGCCATGGGTAACCTTTATCACATTTGGCACATCAGTGTCACAGTGTTTAGCATCACAGCAACCACGAGTTACCTCTGCACAGCAATTCACAGACCTGTGCAATACCATCTAGAAGAATATTTGACCAAAACCAATTTGAACCAGGCCTGAGGGCCGCAGGTTAAAATCACCCACCTTGGACTTGGTAGCATAATTTTCTGTCCACTAGCCCAACGTAGCTCTCTCTGTGTCATGGTTGTTATTATTGTTAGGTTATTATTGTAGACGACTCATAGGGACTCTATGAACGAAAGACCTGAGCACTGTTCATAGAGTTTCCAGAGGCAAGCCATTTCAGAAGTGGACACCACTCCTGCTAAGTGATAACTTAGTAAAATCAGTTGCATATAGTATTTATTGTGTTTTCACATGTTGTTGTTGTGTACCATCAAGTTGGAACCAAATCATAGCTGTCCCTCTGGCAGGTTTTGAGAGGGAGTTAAATGCATGAGAAGAGATTGCCCATCTTTCTCTCATGGAGCAGCTGATGTATTAAAACTGTGTGCCTTTGGGATTGTAACACAGCTTCTTACCACTAGGTCCCTAGGTCTCCCTACTTTTACATATGAACTTAAAAGTATAGCAAATTATTTTAAGATATATTTATTTAATAAGTGTGTATTGGATGTGACCAGAATTATGTTCTATGTGAAGGATAATGCTAAGATGGTGGCTTAAAAATAGATGAAATGTCTGGAGAGCAGAAAATGGGATATAAGGCACAGGGCTGTGATCGTCTTTCTGAAAAGGCCAGAAGGAGTAAAAATAGCACAGCCTCGTGCTGCCTTTAGAGTTGCTTTAACAGCAAGGAGTTTGTTTATATGCTGTTGACTCAGATTCACCCTTGTGATACTACAAATGGGGTTTAATAGAGAAATAAGTTGGAGAGTGGAGGAGGCAAAAAATATTACCCAGGGCAAACGCAGGTTTTAGCCCAGCAGTCCCAATGCACAGTTCTTCAGTTGGTCCAGGCTCCAGCAACACGAATTCAGGAAGCCTCTGATTTCCTCAATTACCCAGCAAGTTGTGCCTCAGAGCAGTTATAAGTCAGCTTCTCCTTAATTATCTGGAAAGTACAGCAAAATCTTTAACTGTGGCTATTATCTCAGGGCTACTATGATTACACCCTGCCACAGTTTATCCACAGCAATACCCCAGTCTCTCCATCACTATCACCAGGGTCTCATTCTCACGAGGGGCTTGCTCCAACTTTCCCTCAAGTCTTGCCACTCAGTTTGGGAATTATTATCTCTCTTACCCTCATCCCATAGCTGTTGATGATTTGCAAAACCGTATGTTTGCAGTTAAGGTATCTGGAGATCAGAGGTGGTTAATGGCTAAAAAAAACCAACTTTAGGCTAACACTCCTTGTAATTAATATTTATTTATCATTCTGAATAGACAGCTTAATTTAGTGACTTAATGTCAGTTCAAAAACTTTTCTTTCTAAACAGTAAAATTTTAAATTTTAAAATTTCGATTATTGCTTTTGTTACATTGGATATACTGGCATTTCTATATTTTATCATTATTGTGTGCTTATTTATAGGTATATGCATGTCAGCATTGCCAAGGGGCAAAAAATCCAGCTATTTTCACATCCAAACAGCACCTTCTCAAAGTGGAAAATCCATGGAGTATAGTTACTGTTGATCTGATGGGACCTTTTCATACAAGTAACAGAAGTCATGTATATGCTATAATCATGACAGATTTGTTCACAAAATGGGTTGTGATTTTACCTCTATGTGATGTTTCAGCATCTGAAATTTCTAAAGCTATTATCAATATATTTTTCTTATATGGACCTCCTCAGAAAATCCTGATGGATCAAAGAGATGAATTCATTCATCAGGTAAGACAGACTGCTTAGGTCTTACTTAGCTTTTATTGCCTATCATTAAATGCCTAACACATTATAAACTTCTGATAAGTATAGTTGTTATAAGTCCAGAAGTATTACATAAGGCAAATTTGTTACAAAGGATCACTTTAAAGTGTTATAATCAGTATCACTGTGAAGCTTAAGGTACACCATGGTAGTTTTTTAAGACTCACATCCATGTGAAAACTGGACAGTGTATAAGGAAGACCAAAGAAGAAATGGTGGATTTCAATTATAGGGTTAATGAAGAATATTGAATATACCATGAGCTACCAGAAAAATGGGGAGTTCTGGTGTCCTAGCAATAATGAGCTGCACTGACAACACAAAGACACACAATTTAAATCCACCAGCTGCTCCACAGGAGAAAGATGAACCATCTCTTCCCATTCAGTTTACTTCCTCAGAGCACCCACTGGAAGGTCAGCTGGAAGTCAGTTCCAGCTTGACAGTCCATAACAACAAAGCAGAAGAATGAACAAATATTTCTTGAAAGTCATACAGCCATAATGCTTCTTAGAAGCAATAGTCATTATGCTTTGTTTCACTTACTTTGAACATGCCAGTAGTCCTTGGAAAAGGATATCCTATGGAAATGTGGAGCATCAGGAATGCTGAGGGAAAACCTTCTACAAGATGGACTGGCACAGTAATTAACAATGGACTAAAAAAAAATAACAGATTATCAAATAAGACTAGACATTGATTAATGTTGTTATACATAGAGCCATTGTGAGTTGGAATTGACTTGATGGATCTAACAACAACAGTAACGGTAAATATATTTTTACAGATATAAATCCCCCTTTCCCAAAATTCCATAGTTTTCAAGTCTATTCTATTTCGCAGATGTTCTCTTTTAGAGGTTGTAAATCTTTATAAGGGGAAACTGCCTCTTTTCCCCATAGAACAATTGGTGGTTTCAAACTGCTAACATTCTGGTTATTAACCTAATTTGCCATGAACCCTGCTCCAGGGCTTCTTGCTACAGATATGTCTTCATTGTTATGTACCACCAAGTTGACTATAACCCATGCTACCCTATGATCGGTAAATTTGTACCTTGCCCTGTCTTCAGCCATCCTCATCATCTAATATACTTCAGCTCATTAGTCACTGTGTCATTCAGTCTCTTATTGAAGGTCTTCCTCTCTTTTGCCAAACCTCCACCTTCCATAATTATACTGCAATGGTGATTGGGTGAAAACTTAGGAAACTAGAATTCCATACTTGTATTGCCACTAAATAATTGTAAAACTGTCTTTTAGATATCCTCATTAAATTGAGATTGGACTTTATCATATTTGTCTCAATTGTAGTTTATAAATTCTACAATGGACATGTCAATAAATACTTGAGTAAATGGAATGATACATTATGTTCATGAATGAAAATACACAAAAGGCATTTATTCTGGAGCTCTGGTGGCCTGGTACGTAGGGAGTTGATACTGCGTTTCAAAGGAAGGCAGCTCCTCTGAAGACGAAAGATGAGTAATCTGATCCCATTAAAAACAAAACAAAACAAAACCAAAAAACCCATCAAGATATATTATTCTTCCCCAGTGAAAATTAAAACATATTTTTTAAGTATTTCAATTCCGCATTAAAAGGGAAGAAGAGATTTTTTTTTTTGCTTGCTTTTTCCCCTACAAAATAAGCAAGTATAGATATATTTACATATTCTATAAAAGAAATGTGATAACTATTAGACTTAGGGAATACTTAACTTTTTTTATATTTGTTTTTATCTTATATTGGTTTGCATACAAAATTCATATAGTGTTTCATTCACATACATTGTGTTTCAGACATTCCATCATTCACATTGTGTTTCTTATAATCATTCCCATACATTGTGTTTTATAAAATGAATCACTGTTGATCTGTGCCCACTATTACCCTGTCTCTGCCTGCTGAGCTCTGTGACACCATGTTTTCTCTCTCTTCCCACTCTCAGCCCATCTGCCTCCTTTCCATTCCCCTTTGAACTTTCATTCACATCTTACTAGTTAACCTGTTTTTACAATTACAGTATTATGCAATATTTTTCCTAATGAGACCGAGTCAGTTCTCTCAGCATAATGCTCTCCAGTCTCTCCCATGTTATATAGTACTTTTTCAAGTTATTGGTCTTGAGTGCTGCATAATATTCCATCATGTGACTGGACCACAATTTCTTATTCACACAAAATTCATTCGTTTGTTGATGTACTTTAGAGGTCTTTGCATTTTCTTGCTCTTTTGCATAGCATAATGCTGCTGTGAACATCAGTGTAAAAATCTTCTTTTGTGTCTCAGTTCTAATTTTTTGGGGGTATATTCCTAGCAGTGGAATAGCTGGGTCATATGACATTTCTATGTTCAGCTTCTTAGGGAAATGTCAAACTGCCTTTTAAAGTGTTTGTACCATTGTATAATCCACCAACAGTGTATGAGCATTCTAATCTCTCTACCTCCTCTCCAACATTTACTGTGTGCTGTCTAGTTCAACTTTGCCACTGCTACTGAGGTGAGATGGTATCTCATTGTGGTTTTTATGTACATCTTTCTTACTGCCAGTCAATTTGAGCATTTCTTCTTTTGTCTGTTGGCCATCCAAATGTTTTCCTCTTTGAATTCCTTTTGTAATTGGGTTATCAGTCTTTTTCTTGTAGAGGCCTTCTGATATTTGGTAAACTTTGGTTAGGAGATCCCTGTCTGAGATGTAATTGACAAATGTTTTTCAACTCAGTAGCTTTACTTTTCAGGCCTAGTGTACTGAAAGTGATGCCACCAAGCCAAAGGTGGGTGACTTTTAATCCGCGACCATCAGGCCTGTTTTTCATTGTTTTGTTCAAACATTCTTCTAGGTTGTAATAGCCCTGGTGTGTCCACTTGCTTTACAGAGGTAACTTGTGGTTGCTGTGAAGCTGAACACTGACACTGATGTGTCAGATGCGTTAATGGTTACCCATGGCAGACAGTGTTTGGTGGTGCTCCCCGATTAAAACAATTTTGGAAGCAGGAGTGGCATCCACTTCTGAAATAGCTTGCCTCTTGAAACCCTATGAACCTGGAGAAAGGATGAAAGTCACACAAGTGTTGAGGACTTTCTTTCATAAGGGTCCCTATGAGTTGCCTATAACTCAACAGCATGTAACAACAACTATTAGAAAAAGTTTTTGATGCACTGAGGGACTTATCTTTAGAGGATGCCTTTCATCAATGTTATCTTCTCCTGATTGTGCATTCTGTATACTTTTGCTAAACTACTTAAACCACTTACAGCACTTACTACAGAACGTCAGGTACCGCCAGCGTTCAAGCTCAACATCAAGAAAACAAGGATTCTCACCACTGGGCCAATTGGCAGCATTATGATAGACAGTGAAGAGATTGAGATTGTAACAGCTTTAGTTTGCATGGCTCCACTGTTGGTACCAGCAGCCAGGAAATCAAAAGATGAATTGCATTGGGATAGTCTGCTGTCAGGGACCTCTCTGGAGTACTTAATTGCAATGACATCAGTCTGGAGATTAAGGCGCACCTGGTCCAGGCCATAGTCTTCACAATTACTTGCTATGCATCAGGAAGCTGGACAGTGACTAGGGATGATAGAAGGAGAATTGATGCCTTTGAGCTGTGGTGCTATAGAAGAGTTTTGAATATACTATGGACTTCCAGGAAAACAGGTTCATCCTGGAGGGGGTGAAACCAGCTGCTCCGTGGAGGCAAGGGTTCTGAGGCTTTGTCTGACATACTTTGGGCATGTTGCAAGGAGGGACCATTCCTTGGAGAGGGACATCATACTGGGAAGATTGGAGGGACAGAGAATGAAAGGAAGACCCTCAGTGAGATTAATTGATTCAGTGACTTGGATAAATAGAATAGGTGTTTCAGAGACAATAATGTTGGCACAGGATAGAGCTGGTTTCAGGGCTGTTGTACATAGGGGTCCCTATGAGTTGTAAGCTACTCGATGGCACATAACAACAGCAACAACTTATACCATAGGCTAGGCCTTTTAAGTTTGGTCCAATTTTGTCTCTTATGGTCTTTATGATTTGAACCTTTACCCTAAGTCTCTGATGTACCTTGAATTTATTTTTATTTATGGTGTGAGATGTGAATCCTGCTTCAGCTGCATTTTATTGAAAAATTTTTTTATTTTATGCTGGGCTTTTTACAACGTTTGAATACATTGTTTCTTAAACCAGATGTTTCCCATTTCCTTCAGTAAGAGATTGTCATTTTCCCGTTTGACAAACACTCTTCCAACACATCAAATTGTGCAACCCTTGGATTAACCTCCCTTTGCCCATCCTCACTCCTCTGCCTCTTCCCTCTCCCCCTTGAATTCTCATGCTTATTCTACAGTAATGGTTTTATACAGTATTCGTCCTTATGGGATTGAGTTAGTTCTCTTAGCATAATGCTCTTCAGTCCCTCCCAAGTTGGTAGTAACTTATAAAATCATTGCTCCTGAATGCTGCATAGTATTCCATTGTGTAAATATACTATAATTTCTCTATCCATTTGATTGTGGTTGGACATCTGGGCTGTTTCCATGTTCTTGTGATGGTGAATAATGCTGCTATGAACATTGGAGTACAAGTCTTGGCTTGTACATCAGTTCTTATTTTCTCAGGGTATGTTTAAAGTAGTGTAATCGCTAGGTCATATGGAATGTCTATATTCAGCTTTTTGAGGAAGCACCAAACTGCCTTCCAGAGTGGTTGTACCATTTTACAGTCCCACCCACAATGTATAAGAGTTCTTATCTTGCCACATCCTCTCCAACTTTTATTACTTACTATACTGTTATACTTTGCCACTGCTACTGGAGTGAGATGATATCTCATTGTAGTCTTGATTTGCATTTCGCTTATTGTCAGTGATTTTGAGCATTTCTTCATGTGTTATATAGCTTCTTCTGTGAAACTTCTTTCCATGTCTTTTGCCCATTTTGTAATTGGCTTATCAGACTTT